CCATCCATCTAGTCAGTCTCCATCCATCCATCCATCCATCCATCCATCCATCCATCCATCCATCCATCCATCCATCCAATCAGTCTCCATCCATCCATTCATCCATCCATCCATCCTGTCAGTATCCATCCATCCATCCATCCATCTAGTCAGTCTCCGTCCGTCCATCCATCCATCCATCCATCCATCCATCCATCCATCCATCCATCCATCCAATCAGTCTCCATCCATCCATCCATCCATCCTGTCAGTATCCATCCATCCATCCATCCATCCATCCATCCATCCATCCATCCATCCATCTAGTTAGTATCCATCCATCCATCCATCCATCCATCCATCCATCCATCCATCCATCCATCCATCCATCCATCCATCCATCCATCTAGTCAGTCTCCATCCATCCATCTAGCCAGTCTCCATCCATCCATCCATCCATCCATCCATCCATCCATCCATCCATCCATAAATACTTCCTCTCATTTATTGCAGTTTCTTGTAGAACTAATTGAGTTTGACCTCCATCCTCCTCTGTGTCTGGATGTTCTCTGAAGTTCTCCTCCAGTTTCTGTGTAAACTGGTTTGGAAATGAGGAAGTGTAACAGAWTTGGAGCRTATCTGGAAGTAGGAGCAGGTAATCTGCTTCCAGTCCTCTGCAGGGTTGAGTTCAGAGCGTTTCTGCTTGAACCACCCACGAGGATGACTCACAGCTCCATTATACTCACTACAAAGATCATCTATTTCAGTCAATTTCTGTGTAATGGAGCCTGCAGTTAAGGGTTTTGTTGGTGCAGCTTGTCTGAGTGTATTTATGTAGATTTGTGTGTGGTGTTTTATTTTTTTAATGCAAGTGAGTCACATACACTTGATTTATAAAGCAAAGAGGATTAATTTCGCCCCGTTGGCACGTCTGCYGCTGACATTCATCACATCCTTGCCTCTGCAGGGCATCGAGCAGCTTAAGAAGGAGGAGAGAAGATGGGTCAAAAAGTCCAAATGGATGAACATGAGGGTGGTGTTCGGCCACCCGTTCTCGATAGCTTGGCTCAGCCCGTTCGCCACGCCCGACCACGGCAAGGCAGACGTGTACCAGTACATAGTGTGAACCCRAACCCATCACGACCTGGACATGAACTCATTTTAACCGCTTCCTTTTCTTTTCTACATGAATATTTCAGGGGGTTTTGTTGTTATGKTTTATTTTTTATTTTTCTCGGTGCTGAATGAGACTAACAAACTGATGCTGTACAAGAAAAAAAGCTGAGAAACTCGACAATAAGGAGTAAAAAATCACACCAGAAGACTGAGCTCTTTACGCTGGAGGAATAAAWGTCTGCAGTTTGTCTGATCATTTCCTTTTTCATGGTTGAATAATGAMGTCCAGATGTTATTTTTCTGTTCCAGGAGATAAAATCCTGGTTTTGTCTTCCTGTAAAATTAACATTTTCTCTCTTAATTTGATGTATTTTTGTGGATTTTTTTGCTGCAGATGATTTGCCTTAGAACAGCTCATTAGTAGATTTTAAATTTTGTTCCTATTTATTGCCTTAAAGTGACAGTCCTGGTTATAACAGGTGATCGTTGCAACCTTACTTTTGTTTTTTGATCAGATTTGTTCAGATTATATTTTAAAAGTTTTATAAATTGGTTTGTGAAATGCTCCACATTGTTTTGCATGCTGTAAAATCACAATCAATCACATATAAGGAGTTTGACCCCTCCCCCCTTTTTTTAAAGCAATCCACTAAGATGAAATGATTAGTTTGAAGTCTAACCTGTGAAATTTTAGAACAGGTTGAGTTCAGTCAAACAGTTTCACTGTCGTCTTCATTGTTAGTTTGAATTTTTAGATTAGGGACAGAAATCCTGTCGGCTCCACGAGCTGCATYAATGAGATTTTTTATAAAAGAAAAAAAAAACAAGTGCAGTTTTCTTTTTGTAGTTTCCAGCTTTCTGTGTCCACTCCTCTTTGTCTTAAAAAAAAGCACGACTCTCTCTCTTCTCAGCCGACCGTGTCGTCGTCACAGAAACACCAAGTCAGGACCACGTGAAATCAAAACTTTTAGTAAATGTTTGGGAAGAAACACTAAAGGCTGACATGGGTTAATTAAGATGTTAACGGCTCAGACGTCTTGACTTTGCCAAAGTTGTTGTTGTTGATGAATCTTTAAGCTGAGCAGGAAGTTCAGATCTTTTAAAGTTCTGTAGAAAAGCAGTGAAGAGTTAGTATCTTACCTGCTGTAGRTGGCYTTTTGAACAACRTCAGACGGGGAAACGGACCGATGAGCTAACTACTACTCTGAGCRGAGCCAGAACCAAAAGGGTTCATGCGAACACAAATTTACACGCATTAGTTTTGCGTTACGCAGTTACAAACTTTATGGATATTTACAAACACAAATAGCAGCAGCTAGCTGTAGCACTTATGGAGTCTTCCATCTGGAATATCTTAATCCTAACTGTGTAAAGAAATAAAAAWGTTTATAAATGTTGTAAAATCCACCTTGGTCTGGGCTCAGGTTAGCCGTGAACTCGTTAATCCAGTCAGGATTAAACTAATTGATCTAAACTGCAAAGAGCTATCTACAGCAGGTAAGATATTTATTGTTCATAACGGATCTGAACTGCTAAAATCAATCARAACTTAAATTATATCCATAAATATCCCAAGTTTTATGATTCTAGTGGTTCACTCAGCAGGTTTTGATTATTTGATGACTGGAAAATATTTTTTTTTCTCAGTAAACTTCACCAGCTAAGAGAGGACGGCGAGCCGCTCTGCTCTGAATCCTCTGACCCGTACTGTAATTTAATGGGATCTGTTCGTAGATAATCCAGTTTATCGTGACAGTTTTGTGCCTGAAAGTTGGAGGAAAACGGTCCTGCAGAATAAAACGTTGAGTCGCTGTCTGGTCAAAGCAGAACGTTTAAAAAAAAAACTAAAAAGGTTTCGATTTGAGAGCCAGACGAGCTTCAGATTGGACCTCAGAGACACTTCAGAGTATTAAACACTAAAAACGCCTTTGCTTGTGTTTCTTAACGCCTTACTGTATTAAAAGACAAGATTCTGGGAGGAAACATTTGAACAAACTTGTTGCCAAACTGAATGTTGTAAAGAATCACGTGGTCTTACAGGCGTTCAAATGCTTTTATTTTGAAAAAAAAAATCAAGTTTTGTGGAAACGCAACAGSTTTATAAAACCTTTACAGCTTCTGTTTGAAACAAGTTGAAATTTGACAAATCTCTTTTTTTATTGTCTTAAGTGTAAATGAATAAAACTGCATAAACAAACAACTTTTGGTTATTTTGGTCACATTTATTCATGAGCTTTTATTTTACTGTGTTCTGTAAAATCCTCTTTATTTAAAAAAAAATAAATAAAAACAGTTAAATTTTTACTTTTAATGGGTAACAAATTGCAAACATTTTATTCCAAACTGAAAAATAGAACATCACACAAAATATTGCATAAACTTGTATTTTTCTAGGAGTTTTTAAAATTAAAGTTTGTTTTACAGACGATAATTGTGGCCACAATGCATTAAAAATACATTCAGATATTTTGAAATTATTGTCATAATTCTTAATATAATAAGACAAATGAGGCCTTAATTGTTTTCTATAACAGTGATTTATATTTTCATAGTGGTTTTTGAATTATTAATAAAAGTATAGTATATTTATTATTTTTGAATTCAAATTTTATTCATATAAGAATTTAGTATTTATGTTAATAGAGTGAAAATTTGTTCTCGTGCACAAAAATAAACCTTAAATGGTTTACCATCACCATTTAATCATTTTAGTATAGAAGTCTGGATGTTAGTGAACAAAACTTAAAAAGGAAATACATTAATCTTTAAATTAAACCAATGTTTTCTATTTCTGTGGTTTGCAGTTCTTACCTTTTTTATTTGAGCTGTTAAATAAGTCAATTAAATGAACTATATTCAGTCATCAAAAGTTAAAAAAAATGAAAAATTGTTGGTTTTGTTTTCAAAGCTGCTTCATCTGGAAAATGTCAGGATTTCTGATTTCGCTCTGCTCCACCACATAAACTTGATTATTCCTCTTCTAACTGCATTATTATAATTATCTACGGTAGTTTACATGAGAAAAACCTACAGATTGACTCCAGTTTAACAAACAACAAACCACCCGAATGATGCAGGTAAAATCCTCGGTAATCAGGTGAAACGTTTATTGAATACTTTAAAGGAATAGTTCACACTTTTACAGATGTCAGTTTTACAGGTCAGAGCAACAAGATTCTCCTCGTCTGATTGAACTGTCTGCTTGTTTTCTGTTTTAAGGATTTACTAAAAGTAGCCACTGGCTCACCAGCAGGCAGAATTAAACTCCTTAAAGGAGCCAACWTTTCCACAGAATCCCAGTCGGTAGGAGGTGAACCATTTAAACTCCTGTTTGTTGGTGTTTAAGCTACATTTTTGTGTCGGTTCATGCTGTTCAGGTTGAATTCACTTAACGTGCTGGAATATATTTGATAATTCATGTTTACTTCAGACAGGGTGAGAAGGCTTTCACAACACGCCAGCCAATCAGAAGGCAGAGCTTGTAAGAGAGGATCTCTTAAAAATGATGGGAGATAAATTTTTTWTCCCAGATAGGTTTGAATGAGGGACTAAACAAGACTATTTGGGTTGCGGGGCGCCTAAATGGAGAGGCGGGGGACACTCTGGACAAGTCGCAGGTCCATTAGGGCTGACTTAGTGAACCTAACATTTGGTGTTCAGCCTTCAAAATAAAAGCCGCAGATGTCTCAAAACAAGTTTACATGTCTGTAATGAGCATTTGATTTTTGTAAAACTTCTCCCTAATATAATCCAATAATTGCTGTGGTCACATTATTGGGGATTATTTTTGATCATGATACAAAACCCTGGGTAGACTTGTGCATTGTTGCTGTGGGTTTTAACAGCAGTGTAAACATTTTAATGCTTTATAACTTTGCCCCTTGCCTGCAGGTTTCAAACCCTCACAACCTGAACATGGAAATAAAACGGGGACAGAATTATTGCAGCCCGACAGACGTTTCCATGTTCATAAAATGGAAACTGTTAGAGTTTTAATCATGACTGCGACTACAGGATATTATAAGAACACAAACTAAAGTCATGTTCGACACCAGAGGGACGGTGAAGCTGCACAAATTCACAGGTTGTCTCTCTGATGAGGACCAGTGCTCCGAGAGGCTTCGGTGTGATTTATTCAGCCATTCGCTTTTATTTTATATTATTTAGTAAAAACGTGCACACATAAGGAACAGCTGCCTCAGGGTCATAATACAGTATCTGTTAGTGGTGTGGAAAAGTTCAAGCAACAACAAAAAAAGCCTTTCAGCGCTACATCAGAAGAGTTATTACTTCATAAAAAATAAAATAAAGTTACCCTTTAGTTAGCTGACAGCTTTGTAAATAAAGGTGTTTACAGTAAGTGTCTTGAGTGTGAAGAAAAATAAAAATAATATTAAGGTGATAAAAAGTTAAAGTTGYTGCTCTCGTTCAAAACCAGAAAAGTTTTACTGAAATATAAGCGTATTTATCGTATCGTCTCACTCTTTTACATACGGTGTAATAATTATAGATTAAAAAAAGGCGTTTTATCCAACTGTGATTAATCACATCGCCCTCTGCTGGTCTGAGGAAGAATTACCAGAAATCTTAACCCTCAAAATAACACTTTAATTATTATTAATCTCAACTTTTTTTGTGTTCATCTTCTAAATCAAAGCCCCGTTACAAGAGAGAGGTCTGCAGTGAGGGTCACGTTTTGCAATGATTTTATGAATCGCTACTTCATCCTTACTAATAACGGCTAATGTCTTTGAAAATAGTACTTTTATTTTGAAATGTACGGCTACTTTCTGTTTATTTTTTATTTTTTGCAGATTTTATCACTCTCATGTCTGTTGCCTTAACTGTAARAATTAAAGGTGGACTGATAGATCACTTGGTTGATTATTTAGTGCAAATGCTTCTTTTTTGTGCCTTTTTAAAAATAATTAGCAATACAAACAATAAACTGATTAAAAGACAGAGATGTTTGTGTGCAGGCTAGAAAATGCTACTTCTAAACAAAAAAATGTCTTATTTTTATTATCAGTTATTTTCCTTTGAAAGTCGACTTCAAACTGTGTTTTTACGGTTATGGAGAGTGCAACAAGTGGTTCTCATGTGAACGTGAAACACGAGCGATTGTGTTCAAATATTTATTAGAGGCGTGACTGTGAGCTTTCCTTTCAGTGACTCGATGATGTCATCACTAGTCGCCTGCTGCAGGCTGTGTAAAACAGTATTTTTGTGTTGTAATTCCGTTATAATCTGCATTTCCAACTAAGTCAATGATCTTAGGTCTTTGTTGTTTAGTTTGTAAACATGTCAACAAAAGAATCTTTGGGACAAATTAAAGAATAATCTGGTCTCTGWGCTGTTACTATTATTGACGGTCAACAAACTGGTGATAGCACTCGTCGAAATTTTTATAAAACAGCCATTTTTTTTGGGCCAAAATCGAATATGTTGTATTTACTTGTGAATGTTAAACATTTACATTTTAGAGTACTAACCAAACTCACAAATCAGCTGCATAAATCCACTGTCGTTCACTTTGAATTCTAAATATCGGCACTAATAAACCTTAATGGGTCTAATTTTAATAAGATATATAAAACCAACCATGTCTGAAACACTGGAAGCATTTATTTAAAACTGGATTTCTAAAACTCAAATAAAAATACGATACAATCTATTCTTTAACCATGTCCTTTAAAGCGTGCATGTTTTCAGGAGGTGCTGCAGCACCTTTTGCGCCCAAACTTCCCATGACTTTCCCAGCCCCACCCATAAATCCACACTTTATATATATATATATGGTTTTTTTTGATAGCCTACGCAAAAATAATTTAAGATGTTTAATTAGAGAGGAGTTTTTGTTGTGAGTCAGTCTCGCCGATTGAGGTTTTATATTTATTTCAGACATGAGAATGGTTTCAACTCATCATTTTCTTTACAAAATATCACACTAACGTTTTTATTTGCTTCTCTCATGAGTTTTTTTAGCTCATGAGTTTTGTGCTATAGTTGCCTGATTACCCTAGAGCATCACAGAGATGAAATAATGTCTGCCTCTCTGCTTACCTCTTGATAAAAGTCTATTTTGAAGCTGAACTAGCTTTTCTCCACGAGTCAGGCTGCGGCTGTGCAGTGGCTGGACTGGCTCCGAGCCACCGTCTCCTCTGGCTGCACCGTCAGGGTTTTCTCTGAAAACTGCCCCCAATGCCAGGTAATCATTTTAACAAGACTTGGAAGACGGCGACAAATTCATTCCTTTCTCTCCCCGCGGAGCTGCTGTCGTTTCGTTACACGCAGGATCTTCACTCGTCTTTGGCTTCGTGGGAAATCAGAGGAGCCAAAGCACGACGCAGCCGGCTGGTGGTTCGCTATTCGTCCTTAGCGTCTGCTGCGTCCTGGTGTCTGTCCTGCGGTGAAACCCTCTGCAGTACCAACAGACCGGAGAAGGTCAGAGAGATCCCAACCCACCACAGTGTTATCTGGGGTTCCCCAAAGAGCAGCTGGCCCAGGAAAGCCTGAAACAGGAGGCGAAATAATAAAGAAGAAAAACTCAAATAGAATTTRACCTACTTTGGCGTGTATAAGGAAAAAAAAAATACCACAAGGTCATTTAAATTAACTTTATTTCCCAACAGACCCGTGTTAAAAGTCTTTTTACTTACGGAAGATACGAAGTTGGAGGCAGTGGTGGTCACAGTTGTTCGGGTGGAGGAAGAGGAGTACCTGAGAGCTTTGGCCAGGAAGGTCCACATCACAGCATTGCAGGTGAAAAGAAGGCCGCCACACAGCAGCCGCAGAGGGATGTGGAGCTGGAGAGAAATCGGAGACGTCACATCCAGTTTAAAAATGACAGCTTTGATGAAATTATCGAGTCTGTAGTGTGATGTCACAGTTAGTTGTGATGCACACAAACCTTGCCCCTAAAACTGCCTCAGACAGTGCTGGCTCAAGCCATTTTGGTGCCCTAGGCGAGTTGAAGCCACCCCCAGTTTACTATGGTAAACTTAGATTTATTTGCTTTAAACACAAACATACATCACACAACACAACAAATTAAATGAATAAATAAAGTAAATATAAGTACCGTATTTTTCGGACTACAAGCCGCGACTTTTTTCCTGAACTTTGAACCATGCGGCTTATAGTCCGGTGCAGCTTATACATGGATTTTTTTCTTCAGCCACCAGGGGGCTCTTATGCTCCATTTGCTTCAACCACTCGCTTCAAAAAAAGAAAGGAAAAAAAAAAAAAGCGATCGCTTCCAGAGCCGACTGTTGTACCAGGAAGCAGCGATTTAAAGATAGTCAATGGCCAAAAACTCATAAAAGGGGATAAAACAGACATTTTTCACGGTGGAATCTGACTGATAAAAACTTTGGAGCTTAATCCAGGACCAGTTTGTGGATAAACGTCGAGTGAAGAGCCGCAGACTTTTTTTTTTTTCCTCATTGCACTCCCCGGGGAAGGAATCCCATGCAGTGACGTATGCTGGAGCGGGAGGGCTTTCCCACCACAGCTTCAGAGCCAGCATTACCCCAGGAGGACAACAGATACCGCTGTGTGACGCAGCTTTTCTCAGCTTGTTTAACTCCGACACTGAAGAGGAGGACTTCGATGGTTTCAGTGCGCCGGAGGACGATGAATGAGACGTTTTGTTGGACCAGAAAATGTTAAAGAAAACTACCAAAATAAGGTCAGTTAAATGAACCGTATTCCTCCGAACTTTAATTCCTAAAGGTTTGCTTTTTATGTTTTGATGTTGAATTCACTTTGACGGCAAATTTGGGTGTACTGTTTTTTTATGTTGGGGGTGCGGCTTATAGTCCGGTGCGGCTTATATGTTAATGTTGGCACTTTTTTTTAAAAAAATGGCGGGTGCGGCTTATAGTCCGGTGCGGCTTATAGTCTGAAAAATACGGTAAATCAAATGACAAGGGTAAACAAAAGACCTGTTCACAATTTGTGCAAAGATTTAAAAGGTCCTCTCTTTTTGGAAAATATAAGTCTGATTTTACCTCATAAGGTCCTCGGCTGACAAACTCAGTCCTCACTGTGTCAGAATGAATGTCAGCAGGATTAGTAGTAGGAGTAGTTTATTTTTCCTGTAATACTTCATTATTGTTTTTAAGACAAAGCTAATTGAAAGGGGCGCTGAGCAGAGTTACAACCAGGGATTACAAATAGTTACTTTTTTTTCTTCTGCAGTTTGGCGCCCCCTCCAGCAGATGGCGATCTAGGCGACCGCCTAGTTCGCCTATGCCAAGAGCCGGCTCTGGAGGTTTCAGACAGTGGAAGGTCACACAATATATGACTCRCTGTTAATGACAATCTGTGTGTGTAATTTGAGACACGCACAGCTTTGAAGGGACCCAACTTGTGGGGACCAAAGCCCAGTCTCCATGGGTATGGATAGGGGTTAGGTATAGTCGGTGTCAATGCAAAGTCCCCACGAGGATAGAAAAACCAACACAGAAGCGTGTGTCAGCTGCAGCGTCCTTCAGCACGAGGACACCGCACGAGCGAGCAGCTGCGTGTGTGGTGCTGATGATGAAACTGATGCTGATGAGGGACTCAGGAGCTCATCCACCACACCACACGTCCTAACTGCGGTCTTATTCGACCCAACAGGAACTCACCCGGTCGCAGGCTGTAGCTTCGTCCGCTTGTCTGAATCTCCGCTGCTCCCCCCACGTCCGGAGTCCGGTTTCACAGAACCCCTTCAGGTAGTCGGTTCCGAGGGACAGCTTGGCCGTCGACGACGCCACGGCTCCGAGGAAACCCGCCAGTAATGCATAGAAGACTCCCGGGAACATGATGGCGGCGGCAGCCGAGCCGAGGCACATTATTCTCTACTCCATTTTGTTACATTTATTTTTATTTGACATGTCTGCTGCTGGAGGTCCTGGTTGAGCTGCCTGGTTCTGTTCCTGTCGCTGATGATGAGCACATTTTCCTGCACTTTCTGCGCACAGCCGTCCGGTGGCAGTACGCGCAGTCAGGCTCCAGTGGGTTTCTGGGAAATGTAGTTAATAACACAGTTTTGAGGCATTTTAGGGTATCCAAACATTATGAAAGCCAATTTCTCCCACTTTGGAGAAATAAAAAAGATAATTAGAGGTAGGCTAAATTATAAAATAGAAACTCATAAGTATGACTTCAAATCCTAATATATGACTTAGCATCTCAAAATCATGAGCTAAACTGTCTCATCTCATAATTCTGACTTAGCATCTAGTTTTAAGATACTGTCTAATAGATATGATAACTGAAGTCACATTTATGAGATAATGAGATGCAAAGTCTACTATCCTAATTTCTCATGAGATGCTATCACAAAATAATAGAAACATCTTGATTATGATAAATAAAATTTAGTTTCTCAAAATGATGAGACACTATCCCAAAGCTATGACCAGTGGTTTATCATCTCATCGTTCTGACTTAACATCTAATTTGAAACACTCTGTCATAAATATGAGAACTAAAGTCATATTTATGAGACAATGAGATGCTAAGTCTGTAGTCTCATAATTTCTTGAGATGATATCACAAAATCAAGAGATATTAATGAGAGAATTACTACCTCATAATTATGACTTCTTAAAACTGAGTCATGCTTTCCTATTATCTTATAGTTCTGATTTAGCATTCCACAATAATGAGATGCTATCTCAAAACTCTGAATCTCATCTCCTAATTCTGGCAATGGTTTTGAGATCCTATCTCATAAAAATGAGGAATGAAGTCATTTTTATGAGATAATGAGACGCTAAGCCTGCAGTCTCATAATTTCTCATGACGTTCTATCACAAAATTAAGAGATACTGTATGTCATTATAATGACTTAACCTCATACAATTATGAGATACTAATTCAAAACTATGACTCATGCTTTCTCATTATCCAATAATTCAGACAGTGTTTGACAGTTAGATGCTRTTGCTTAAATATGAGAATTAAAGTCCTATTTATGAGATAATGAGATGCTAAGTCTGCTTTTTCATCATTTTGCATGATGTGTTATCACCATATCAAGAGATATCTCATGACTTAGTTTCAAAATGAGGAGATACTGATTCTAAACTCATGTTTTCTCAATTTCTCATAAATCTGACTTGGAAACTCAAAATGGTAAGATATTAACTTTGATTTTAAATGTGATAATATTATGACTCGTGCTATCTCATTATATCATAATTCTGACTTAGTATCTAATAATTTTGAAGATGTTTCTCATAAATATGAAAAGTAAAATAATAATTATAAGATGATAAGATGAGAAGCCTCAAATCTCATTTCTCACGAGATGCTATCACAAAATTAAGTGAKGTGTCATGATTAAGCAATACTTAACCTCTCAAATAAATGGGATACTAACATTGTTACATATTTTAAATATCTCAAGATATTTGCAACTTTACCAGTTTAATAATTGTAGAAAAWTTTACCAACATTGTGAGCAAAACATGATTTCAGATCCAGAAGCAATAAAGACATATTTAGTTATTGCTAATTTATTGATTCATATGTATATATTTATCATTAAAACAGSTTATACTTGGACATTTTGATGTACAATTTCTTTTCCAGCCAGCAGATGTCACTGGAGTCATTTGGAGACATGTAGGTTCAATGAAACAAGTTGCAGTAACTATACCATAAACTTACAGTCAATGTAGCTTTATGAACTGTATAATTTAATTAAACATATTAAAGTTTATGTTGCAGGCTGCATGCAAGAAACTGAGACAGCAGCTGTGATAAAAACAGTTTTACCTGTTGATATATTGATGACTGAGTGCCATAAATAAGCATCTCCAGTGTGACGTTTGCGCTCAGTGAAGAAATCATAAGATTATAATGACTTTAAATGTTTCTGCCTCACTTTATAGAAAAAAATGAACATAAAATTAGAGTAGTAGTACTTAGAGCTAATTAAAGGTGATTCTAGTCGTTTGTTATCTGTGGATGCTTTTTTAATTTCTGTGAAGGGGTTCAATGGAGTGCAGCAGTGATGACAGGTCGTCCTCTGCTCCACTCGGAGGAGACGACCGTCCTCCACTCTTCCTGTTTTCACACCGTTATCTTTCAGGAGTGTGCTTAACAGGAAGCATCAGAAATCAAGTGGGCCCATTAACTGTAATCTCCTCACTTGGAGTTTCCAGCCCGAGGCTCCTCTGACAAATGCAAGTGTCAAGTCAGAACACTAATTGGGGTCCATCTCTTGCTCAATCGAGCGATAATTGAACCCGTGGAGGGCCATCGTGACATTTCAGCTTAAGGTCTGTCACTGCCTCCTCGTGTCTTTGTCTAACTTTTTGTGCTCTGGGTCCTCCAAGGTGATTTAAAAAAAAGGACTAACCCAGACGGCGGGTCTGTTAGGGTGATGGCTTTTCTGACCTTCAGGTCCATCAGTTCTTGCATCGTCTCCACTTGCTCAAAAGTGACAATTTAAAGTTTTCAACTTCAACAAAAAAGTTTCATAGTTCTAAGAAAGATTTTCGGAGGAATCTGAAGGATAAAATTCCAGCTACATGTATTCCAAGCTGTGAATTAATTTGAGGCGTTCTGGGAATTGGATGGATTATTAAAAACAGATTTACATTTGTTTTAAATTTGGTAACTAGTTCTGAGTTACACATTAACTCAGAGGTAATAACTTTCCCTGCTTCCTTGTCCTGTTTCTGTCACACAAACACCCTGAGGTGACCCTGCCAGCCTGCGGGTGTCTTTAACAACACCTCAGTCCTGTTGCCCATCTTTGAGTCATACAAGCTGTTTCGCAAACAAACTTGGGACAAGTCAAACAGTATTGCCTCATTTTATACAGTCTCCTTTAAAATCAATAAGAACAGCAATTCTGCTGCACCGTATATGACCTAAAAATGACACGTTTGGTGTGAAACCGGTCTTATTTACACGTCCGATAAGCTTCTTTCCCATGAGACGTTTTCTGGAGCCATCAGCTAAAAGCAGATAAAATGTTCTAAAAACAAACCGAGTTGTGATAATCTCAGTGTCCGTGGCCTTTAGGAGCATTTAGRCCAAGGAAAGTTTTAATCTGCTGCAGCTTTTCTTGACGGGTAAAGCATCAGAACACAGAAACACACCACGGCTTTGTTATCATCAGACTTAAATTTCGACTTTTTCCCATACACAGATTATGTGTGTACGTGTGCACAAAGTGATTGTGTGTGGCTCTGGGACAAGGACAGAAACATTCACACAGCCAGCGTCTGATAAGCTTCCTGACGACATACAACACTCTTATTCTGCCTCAAAACGAGTCCAAGTTCCCTAAATGACCTTTAAAATGTGCTTTCTCACTGTTAGTTTAGCCGGGGTCCTGCCTCGCCCAAACTCACCTGTTCCTGGTCGCATAATCACAGCTGCAGCCACTCTTCCCATCCGCTCCAGTCCACGTTAGCACAAGTTTTTTTTGCCACTTCAATAGAAAACAAAACTGAATGTTAGTTTCTTAATTTCTGCATCATCAGTGGCTTTTTTTAAATAATACTATAGTACAGAGGAGCCCAAAGTGGGGCCCGCGGGCCAAATTTGGCCCGCCAAGCCACTTGATTTGGCCCACCAACAGTTGCCAAAGTTACAAGGATGTAACCTGTTATCCTGTGTAGAAACAGTATTTCCATTGGTCAAATGACTATATAAAAGGGCTGTAGTGAAGGTAGTTTTCATTCATGGTGCTGACTGTATCTTTGATTTATTAGGATTAAACATGAAACATGAAATGACAAGAAATATTTAGTTCTGATTTAACCACACATKTAGATTTGCACACTTTATAAGGCCACAAAAACTCATATTTAATCAATTTATATGTCCAACAAGCCTTTGCTACTTGAGCGAATGGCAGACTTTGCACAGAATAAAACAAAAGAGGGCCATTGCATAGTTTAATCGTTAAAAATAAAGGACTTTACTTTAAAAAGTATTTGTATTTCATGTATTACATTACTGCATTTGGCCCGCAGCCATGGATAGATTTTCATTTTGGCCCCCTCGGGGAAAATGTTTGTGCACCCCTGCTGTAGTAAGAAAGAAAAAGAAAAAGTAGAAGAGAAATATAAGAACAGTAAAGAGAGAAACCGATAGAAATTATACAACATGTGAAGTGAACACCAATAACACACAGGACACCACACCCAACATTTGACCATCACACAAAATCAGGCACATACACATACAAACATTCACATACACACACACATACATGCATATACCTACATACACACACACTCACATACCCCCCCCCCCCACACACACACACACACAGGACACCACACCCAACATTTGACCATCACACAAAATCAGGCACATACACATACAAACATTTATATACACACACACATACATGCAGGTCCTTCGCAAAAAATTAGCATATTGTGATAAAGTTAATGATTTTCTGTAATGTACTGATAAACATTAAACTTTCATATATTTTAGATTCATTGCACACCAACTGAAGTAGTTCAAGCCTTTTATTGTTTTAATATTGATGATTTTGGCAAAAATGTAAAGAAAAACCAAAAAACCCTATCAAAAACCTAGCATATTTCATCCGAACAGTAAAAGAAA